TTGTTAAACAAACTATAATGATATATATATATATATATATATATATATATATATATATATATATATATATATATTATATATATATATATATATATATATATATATATATATATAAACATATATATATATATATATATATATATATATATATATAATAATTATAGTAATAATACAAAATAATAACAATATTAATAAAGTATCAATATTATTAAGAATAATTATAATACAATATAAATTGTATGTACATATCATAGATAATAATTAAATATAATAATAACATAAAACATAGCAGTAGTAACATGATAATAAATAAATATAATATAGATAAATAATAAATAAACCAAAAATCAAACCGCTCACTCATTAAAGAAATTATATAATAAAGACAACTACAGTACAGAAAGGTATTATAAAGAAATACACTCCAACAGTATGTTTTTAAATTGAATTCTAGTAAACAGTAAATAATCTGTAACAATTTTCAATGCTTTTGCATTAAGAACAGCATAATACTAACTCAATTAGCATAATACATGACTGAGATCGAAAATACTCTGTTGAATATAAGGGAAACTCATTCCAAGATGAAAATAAACCAAACTTTTTGAAATACAATTTTTAATACACAGATTTGATTTTAATGAGAATACATCAGTTATTCCAGAACATAGACTAATCAAAGTATCAACAGAAATAAGATTTGAAGCTGAAATATATTGCATTGATCTTTTATATTTTGCATATATGAAATGATCATCTAGTATGAGCCATACTAAAGACTATCATCAACATATATTTTATATTGCGGGCATAAGTGGATTGTGTCATAAAGTTTAAATTCTGCCACAGCAGATCTCACACTCACTGTCCAGTCACATATCTTTAACTTGCTAATACGATTTAGGAATTTTTTATATGATTTATATACAGGTTTAAAAGTAATAATACTATTTGAAAGCATTGAAGCATCTCTTTTAACAATGATTGAAGATGCAGATTCCCTTCTTTTTTTCTTCTCCATATCTTTAGTACGATCTTTAAAAATAATGACTATTAGATTTTTCCTCCACGAAGTATCAAAATTATTGTTATTTTAATTGTTATCAAAATTATTGGAATTTTAAATATTGAAACGTCCTTATGCCTCCTAGAAGTACTGCATCCAAAAATAGAACAATTAGCACCAGGCATTTAAAGAATTAGAGGAAGAAAATGCAATTTGAACAAGCAGTTCATACAATTGACACAACACCATAATCACATTGACACATCATCATCAAATTGTACAAACAAACAATCGACAAAAGTAAATTTTGTGCACTCTGTGGCAGACTGGACACTAAAAAACTGCTCACAATGAGTTTATCAAAGGAATACCAGACTATCTATTTCTTTTGGCTGTGCGGTACTTGAACTAGCCACCCCCAAAAGCCATTGCTGCATTATTTAATAATCATTTTTTTAGATAAAGCATGTTTTTTTTTTCTTTTCACAAAAAATTTCACAAAAAAAATTATATCGTACTTTTTGTGAAATCTACAATACTAATTGTAATAAATATTTTTACTCAGTAACATATTTGATTTAAAATGTAGCAAAGTAAAATATTTAAGTAAAAGTAAAAGTACATATTTAAAAAAATACTTAAATAGTAGATAAATAAATAAAAACTACTCAATTATAATAATGTGAGTAAATGTAATTCCTTAATTTTTACCTCTGTATATCTACGCATATATATATATATATATATATATATATATATATATATATATATATATATATATATATATATATGTATATGTATATACAGACATTAATATATGTATATATATACATATATATATGCGCAGATATATTTATATATGTAGGTATATATATGTGTGTGTGTATGTATATGTATTATATACACATATATATATATATATATATTATATATATATATATACACGCAAATATATACCTACATATATAAATGATATATTTATATATGTAGGAGTATATATGTGTGTGTGTATATATATATATATATATATATATATATATATATATATATATATATATATATATATATATATATATATATATATATATATATATATATATATATATATATATATATATATATATATATATATATATATATATATATATATATATATATATATATATATATATATATATATATATATATATATGTATATATATATATATATATATATATATATATATATATATATATATTATATATATATATATATATATATATATATATATATATATATATATATATATATATATATATATATATATATATATATATATATATATATACATATTTATTTATTTGATTAAACAAATTTAGCCCAAGTTTGTTGGGTGTTTTAAATACCTTTATATTATTTTTGTAAATGGTATATATTGGACTGAATTTTAATCAAAGAAAAGGAACATGTAAAAATTAACAATTATTCTGCAGGATTTTCAGTAATTGATGTAA